TTCTTCTTGGGTGCTGCCTTCTTGGCCTTGGGTTTGACCACCTTCTTAGCAGGAGACTTCTTGACGGCTGCTGCTGGCTTCTTGAGCACCTTCTTTTTGGGGCTCTTTGCGGCGGGCTTCTTGGGGCTCTTGGCGGGTGCTTTCTTGGCAGCGGGTTTCTTGACCACCTTCTTGGGAGACTTCTTGGCGGCAGCTGTTGTCTTCTTTGCCGCCGCTGCCTTGGGTTTCTTAGCTGTAGGCTTCTTAGCGGCGGCTTGGCCTTCACGGGGGCCTTCTTTGTGGCCGGCTTCTTAGCCTTGGGTTCTGCGGTCTTTTTGTTCATCTTGAAAGAGCCGGAGGCACCGGTGCCTTTAGTCTGGAGCAGGATTTCACCGGCGACCAGAGCCTTGACGGACATCTTGACACGGGTGTTGTTCTTCTCCACATCGTATCCTTTGGCGCCGAGAGCTTTCTTCAGGGCGGCCAGAGAAACGCCGCTGCGCTCCTTGGATGCGGACACGGCTTCGATGATCAAGTCTCGGACGCTGGGCCCGACCTTCTTGGACTTTGGTGCCGTCTTCTTCTTGGCTGCTTTGGCCGGAGCAGCGGCGGCGGCGGCGGGTGCTGGAGCTTCTTCTGCCATGTTGTCTACTCGGGACTGGATTAGTCAGAGTGAGTTGTGAAGTTTCCCGCAGCACAGAGTGAACTTAAAGCCACCATGAGAACCGTAAAGACTCAGCCCAGTCCAGGCCCCTCCGAGGAGCTCTGTTCACCGGGACACTTGTGTTTTCTCTCCACCGAAAATGACAAGAAAAACGGTCTTAGAGTGTCGGAGAAAACCAGGAAAAGACTGAAATGAGAGCGACAGTGTTTGTGTTCACCCGACGATAGCCTGAAAAGTCATTCACTCGCCGCGTTTTTTCTCAGGAACCTCGAAAACCGACATGAACGAGGCGCAGATTCGCACTGCTCCGTCACTTTTCCTTCTTCTCCGTCCGATAAAACTAATAAAAATGTGGCGAAACTCCGATTAAACCCACCGACCTGCTACTAAACACCTTCATCTATGATTTCTGAACCAGATCGTCAGGCTGTAGATGATGATTATGATAAAAAGTGAGTCTGATCTGGTAGCAGCAAACACACAGATGACGGTGAATCACGTAACGGTGGAGCTGTCGAAGGACGGTTCAACTGCACTTAGAAATCACTATCACCTACTATTATATATAAATACTGTCAAAAATCTACCTAGAGATACAAAAGTATACATTTTGAATCAAAAGGTATTTAATAAACGTTACCACAGTGAGATATAAGTCAACATCTAGTGAAGTCATTGACAGCAGCAACACTGTGTCAGATTAGTAACTACTTAAAACGTGTAAAAAAGTGTAGAGAGGAAAATTTACCACTTGATGGAGATTGAATATAGAATAATTGGAGAGTATTACAATTTTAGTAAATGCTATTTTAAATATATATGAAAATCGGATTGTCTCATCAGAGCCAGTAATTGACAGAGTTCAGCTTGTGTAGTTTCCAAGACATTTTTTAAAATTAGAATCAACCTTGAAAATGTTAATCATTATTTCTCATAATTCTCATAGTATATTGTTGTACGTGTCACCTAAGAAGTATTACATGGAATATTTTTAACTGCTTGGTCACTATATCCCACTTTCATCTGCTAGGTCCGTGTTCCACATCGTTATTTTTGCATTAATATAATACCATTGAACATAGTTCTAGTTATTACATTAATAATCTGCCTCATTTTTTCCGTGTAGTATTTATTAAAGCCTGTACTCAGCATTAGACCATCGAGAAATACTCAGTCCAGGTTTAACTATGTTTTAGTGACGTCATAAACTCTAATTGCAATACATAGCACACACGGATTGGAATGTTATCTTGTCAAATATTATGGTGCCATAGATATTCAACTATTACTTAACTGGAATATCATCAACATATTTAATATTTTCAATATTCATATTTAACATGTATAGACCAGAGGCCGGAGGATTTGCTCATTGAGCGGAGTGAGTGGCTCTTAAAAGAGCCGTTGGTTTAGACTCAAGGAGCAGGTGACCGTTTACTTGGAGCTGGTGTACTTGGTGACGGCCTTGGTTCCCTCAGACACGGCGTGCTTGGCCAGCTCACCGGGCAGCAGCAGACGAACAGCGGTCTGGATCTCCCTGGATGTGATGGTGGAGCGCTTGTTGTAATGGGCCAGGCGGGAAGCCTCAGAGGCGATGCGTTCGAACACGTCGTTGACGAACGAGTTCATGATGCTCATGGCCTTGGAGGAGATCCCGGTGTCAGGGTGGACCTGCTTCAGGACGAAGTTTCCCGCAGCACAGAGTGAACTTAAAGCCACCATGAGAACCGTAAAGACTCAGCCCAGTCCAGGCCCCTCCGAGGAGCTCTGTTCACCGGGACACTTGTGTTTTCTCTCCACCGAAAATGACAAGAAAAACGGTCTTAGAGTGTCGGAGAAAACCAGGAAAAGACTGAAATGAGAGCGACAGTGTTTGTGTTCACCCGACGATAGCCTGAAAAGTCATTCACTCGCCGCGTTTTTTCTCAGGAACCTCGAAAACCGACATGAACGAGGCGCAGATTCGCACTGCTCCGTCACTTTTCCTTCTTCTCCGTCCGATAAAACTAATAAAAATGTGGCGAAACTCCGATTAAACCCACCGACCTGCTACTAAACACCTTCATCTATGATTTCTGAACCAGATCGTCAGGCTGTAGATGATGATTATGATAAAAAGTGAGTCTGATCTGGTAGCAGCAAACACACAGATGACGGTGAATCACGTAACGGTGGAGCTGTCGAAGGACGGTTCAACTGCACTTAGAAATCACTATCACCTACTATTAAATTAAAATGTATTGTCAAACATCTACTTAGAGTCAAAGAACTGTCAAATCAGTAACCAGTTGTATTAAATAACCATTAGAACTGTCAGAAACACTTCAACGTCTCATGAAGTCTCAGTATTGAGCACTGCTACAGTGTACGATTTGTAACAAACACTGAGCCATTTAAAACAGATCAAACATGACTAGAACACACTTGTCATATATAAATGTAAAATGTTTTATTGGTAAAAAAACACACATGAAAACAAAATTATCTCAGTTGAAGTAGTAATTTGCAGATTTTACTGTGCATCGTTTTTATTGATCTTTTATATGAAATTGATGCAGAGACACTGAACCAAAAGCTCTTCAAAGTATTCACAAAAAGCTTTGGTATTAGATTTTTTTTAACTTTTTACAACAACAACAATTGATGACATTAACAAATATTTTTAAAAAATATTAAAATCTTTTCAAACCCTGCCACTGT